CTGTTGATATACACACAGTAACTTTCTGGGATTTAAATTGTGATTGCATTGAATCTAATCAAATGGGAAGAACTGACAACTTGATAGTATTGAGTCTTCCTATCCATGAATATGGGATATTTCACAATTTGTTGTACTTGATTTCTTTTACCATTTTCCTCATGTTAGCTCTTTTACATGTTTTATGAGGTTTATACCTAAGTGTTTAATTTTTTGTGATATTATAAATGATACTATGATTTTAGTCAAATTCTACTTGTTTATTATTGGTATAAAAGGAAGTGATTAACTTTATATTATCCTTTCTTTCAAAAGGAGACAGGAAGATGGGGAGGGAGGGTGAGAGTGAGAGAGATATATACTCTGTCTGCTGGTTCACTCCTCAAATGCCTGCAGTAGCCAGGTCAGGGCCAGGCTAAAGCCAGGAGCCCAGAACTTAGTCTGGGTCTTCTGTATGGCTGACAGAGATCCACATACTTGGGCCATTACTTGCTGTCCCCAGGGTTGCACATTAGCAGGAAGCTGGAATTGAAAGCAGAGCCAAGAATGGAATGAACTGTGGCACTCCTATATGGAATGCAGGGGTTCCAAGTAGTATCTTAACTGCTGTGTCAAAGGCCTGCCCTGAGTTGATTAATCTACTACCTTAATATTATTGATTACTAGTTTGAGGAGTTTGCTGTTCTTACTGTTTTTCTTTCAGATTTTTATATTAGATGATCCTCTCATATGTGAAGGAAGACAGTTTTGTTTCTATTTTATGGTTTAGAGTTTTTTATTTCCTTTTCTTATTCTTTTTCCACAATAGTGTTGAAAAATATTTGTGAGAGAAGACATCCTTGCCATATTCCTGATTATAGATGCTTTATGAAACAGCACAACTAATTTATATATAGAATATTAGTCTCTCTCTCTTTGTTTGCCTTATTTAAATTAACTGAGTATATCTACTTTGAGGTTTTATTTAAGTGAACTAAATGAAAACTCAGTTTAAGGTTTTATTTCCCGATTCTGTAGTGCCATATAAAATTTCCAGGTGATTTCCCTGGAGTGCTGTGTTGAGCGTGAGACCTGAGAAGTGAGCATATGCTTCTATTCTTTGACTGTGACATCCCTTATAACCAGTCTTTGCTGTTCACATACCGTAGGTCCACAAAGAGACAGTAATGCTCTCTTTATTCCCTTGAATTCTAAGTCACCTCTAATTCTTTCCTAGGTTGTGCTTCTATCCTTCTATTCCTGTGCATTGTTAGATTTAGGGTATCTCTTTAAGGCCTGAAATTCCCCAGTGCTGTGCTAGGGAAGTGCCCTCTGTACCAGGATCAAAAATCTTACCCGTAGTTTCTGCTTTTTCTGATCTCCCTCATCCTACCTTTTGAAAAGGAAGGGGAGTGTGGCACATGCCTTATCTCAAGGATATGTTTTCTTGGAATTTGGTTTCTTCTGTTTGACTACCTGTCCACTCATTTAATTTTGAAGAAAATAAAAATGTTTTAAATTGACTGAAATTCCCATTTTATTGTTGATTTGGTTTACCTTAGTGAAAGAAATTTGGGCCATTTTGTGGTTCTTTTTTATATCAGTATTACTTTATCTTAATAAGTTATAGAATTGTAAAATATTATTCCTGGAAGAAACATTTTAAAGGGATTTTCTACAACCTAAGAATGTCAGTATATGTCCTTTTTTGTTGGTTTGTTTTTAAAGTTTTATTTATTTATTTGAAAGTCAGAGTTACACAGATGAGATGCAGAGAGAGAGAGGGAGAAAGAGAAAGAGAGAGTCTTCCATCCACTGGTTCATTCCCCAGTTGGCCGCAATGGGTAGAGCTGCACAGATCTGAAGCCAGGAGCCAGGAGCTTCCTCTGGGTCTCCCATGCAAGTGCAGAGGCCCAAGGACTTGGGCCATCTTCTGCTGCTTTCCCAGGCCAAAGCAGAGAGCTGGATCGGAAGTGGATAAACTGGGACTTGAACTGGAGCCTGTATGGGATGCTGGCACTGTGGGCAGCGGTTTTACCTGCTACACCACAGTGCTGGCTCCTGTATGTCCTGTTAATGTAAGAATTGGAATGAGAGGACAGGTTTTATGACTTCTTGTTTCTTGCTCTTTCCTTAAAAATAGATTGCTTTTTATTCTGTGTTACGTCTTGCCAGTTATTGGACTCTAATGTATGACTAATTTGTATTGAATTTTTATTTTACTGTATATGTTCTGTTAATATGATTATACTGATATTATTCGTGAAATGAGTTTCTTCAACAAAATCACAGCATGTAGTCATTTTAGCTCTGAAAGCCACTAGGGGGGTTTTGCAGAGTAAAAAGGTAGTGCAAAAGTGGGAATCGAAAGTAGAAACTAGAAGAGAAAGGATGAGACTGAAAAAACTATAAAAACTGAAAACTCTCATTAGGGTAAATTTACATGGAATTTAAAACTCTTAAAGTTACAATGTTTAGAAAATATTAAGTACTCAAAAAACTCAACAACAGAAACAACCAATCTGGTTGAAAGGACAGAGGACCTGAAAAGATAGTTTTCAAAAGGAGAAATAGAAATGGCCAAGAAGCATATGAAAAAATATTCAGTATTGAAACTTAAATGAGATATTATCTTCCCCTGTCAGAATGCTGTTTCCAAAAAGACAGAAAGTTAGAAATGCTGGCAAGGCTGTGGAGAAAGGAAAGCCTTCACACCATGTTGGCAGGAATGTAAATTAGTGCAGTCATTGTGGAAAGAGTTTGGAGACTTCTTAAAACATTAAAAATAGAACTGCCATATGATCTAGCAATCTCACCATTGGCTATATATCCAAAAGACATGAAATCATTGTATCAAAGAGGTACCTGGTCTAACATGTTTATTGCAACACCATTCACAATAGCAAAGATACGGAGTCAACCATGTGTCCCTCATCAGATGAATGGATAAAGAAACTGTGCAATAAATACACAATAGAAATACTATTCAGTGATTTTTTTTTTTTTTGAAGATTTACTTATTTGAAAGTCAGAGTTACACAGAGAGAAGTAGAGGCAGAGAGAGAGAGAGAGAGAGAGAGAGAGGTGTCTTCCATCCGATGGTTCACTCTCCAATTGGCCTCAATGGCTGGAGTTGCGCTGATTCGAAGCCTGGAGCCAGGAGCTTCCTCCAGGTACCCCACGTGGGTGCAGGGGCCCAAGGACTTGGGCCATCTTCTACTGTTTTCCCAGGCCATAGCAGATAGCTGGATCGGAAGTGGAGCAGCTGAGTCTTGAACCAGTACCCATGTGGCATGCCAGTGCCACAGGCCAGGGCGTTAACCCACTGTGCCACATTGCCGGCCCCACTATTCAGTGATTTTTATAAAAGTGAAATTCTGTCATTTACAGCAGAATGGCTGGAATTGGAGGATGTGATGCTGATGAAATAAGCCAGATGAAGAAAAGCAAATACCACATCTCCTCCTTGATATGTGGAAGCTAAAAAAAAAAAATGAAAACAAACACAAATCAGAAAACCTCAATCTGAACACAGAATGTTGAAAACTAGACTGGAAAGGATAGAACGAATTTGATTTAAAGAAAAAATTTGGAAAGCTGGTTGTGATTCAGTAATTGTGACAAAATACTAATATGAAATATTAACCATACTGCAAGTGAGGTGTAAGGGTTTATATGGGAATAATTTGTATTACTACCTCACAATTTTTGTTTTCTAAATTTCAAAGTATTCTAAAAAATGTTAAAATATGAAAATAGTTTCAGTGAGTAGTGTTAAGTAGCTAACATGGTCTTTTGAGTTTTGTAAACAGATCAGTTGAGGGATGTTATGTAAGAATGTGCTTCTAAAAGTGTCTGGAAAATGGTATTAAATGTGAGTTTATTTTTGGTCCAAAGAATTTTGAAATCCCTGCATATGAAAGATCTTCAGAAAGTTCATGGAAAATGTTTACTGTGAAAAAACTGTGGATTTCAAATTTTTTACATTAAAATTAATATTTCTAAATTTCATTTGCCACAAGCTTTTTTATGTACTCTTGTAGTTAGAATATGAAGGCTCCCAAATTATTAAGAAACATAAGGATTATGGTTATATTTGCAGTTTTTTTTAAAAAAAAGTCTATATTGCCGGCACCGCGGCTCACTAGGCTAATCCTCCACCTTGCGGCGCCGGCACACCGGGTTCTAGTCCCGGTCGGGGCGCCGGATTCTGTCCCGGTTGCCCCTCTTCCAGGCCAGCTCTCTGCTGTGGCCAGGGAAGTGCAGTGGAGGATGGCCCAAGTGCTTGGGCCCTGCACCCCATGGGAGACCAGGAAAAGCACCTGGCTCCTGCCATCGGATCAGCACGGTCCGCGCCGGCTGTGGCGGCCATTGGAGGGTGAACCACCGGCAAAAGGAAGACCTTTCTCTCTGTCTCTCTCTCTCTCACTGTCCACTCTGCCTGTCAAAAAAAAAAAAAAAAAAAAAAGTCTATATGTGCATATGTTTATATAGACATGAAGACACACATACAAAGTGCTTGGTTACATTCACTTGCCTTTCTCAAATCTAGGTTTATTGCAGTCCTTTATTATATTAATGCTTTTCTTGTTTTTTTTTTTTTTTTGAGATACAGGGTGAAAAATTCATTTGAATGTGCTCTGTTGGCTGATTTTCTTCCATACTTTTTAATGAATATCTCTTTAGTGAATAAATTTCATGCAGGTGAATTTTTAACAGATAAAGAACACAGTTTACAGATTTGTACCTTTTATTGCAATTTTCCAGATCAAAGCTGCTCTAGCCCAATTCACAGATCTTCTTTTATTTCTTTCTCAATTGTTAGTCTTCAATTTTTGTGGTAAAATATGTTCTACTTGTTCAAGTTATTGAACTGTTTAAGTTTTCCTTCATTTTGAACAGGTATTTTCATATAGGTAATTTCATACAGGTATGAAATTAATGTAGATATTTATCATTATTATTGATTTAAAGGAAATAATTTAATGAAATGTCTTCCGCTGCTTTTTGCTATTTTTTAGGAGTGGCAGAATTCTATTCAGAAGAATGCAGGCCTTGCTTTTATTGAACTTGTGAATGAAGGAAGGTAATCTATTTTCTATCAATTTATATTTTGCTTTAAAATATGGTTGATATTTCTCCATAGGAACTTATATTTGGAGGTTTTTTTTTTTGGAGTCAATAATGTAGTGGAATTCCTAAGAAACTGATTATTAAGAATATGTGTGATTATCTTTGCAGTCAGTCGTATGGTAGAGCGCTAATGCATATTGTTTGTTAAAAATATGTCAACATTTAACCACTTTGTTACTTCTTTCATGATCACATGCTTTTTGATAAGGTTCTGATCTTTATATTTTAGTAAGTGTGACTAAGTTTGGCAAAAGTAAAATGATGGTACCATTTGCAAATATAATGAAAAGCCATACTTGTTTGGACTCCAGTCAAGTTGTGTTAATGTTTGTAGAGCCAATAATTCGATGTTTATGTTATCTCTCTTTTATCATAGGCTGGCCATATGAGGGAGGGATAACAAGTTTCAGTTTTTGCTGTGATGCACTGAGAAGGGGCTGGTACCCTTTGTTTTTAGTAGAAACAGAAGAATTAAAAAAAATATCTAGTAGAAAGGAGAAGGGAGGAAAACACAAAGTTGAAAAGAGTTAAAATGGAGAAAATAAATATGAGAAGTTGAAAGAATAAAAGGGTCAAAGTAAGAATGAGAAAATGAGTTGACTGCTTTGTATCTGTTGTCTTGTAGCTGGTTTTGTATTTTTGGCATTGGCCACCCAGAGTGTAAGTTTAAAGTGTGACTGGCTGCTCTTGCAAGTAGTATTCTATGAAAAGGTATTGTTTCAGGAATATTCTTAGTAGTTTTGGCTAGTGTTGTTGAGGGATTGACTGTATCATTATTGTAACGATTTGCACTAACAAGTAGAAATCCAGGTTTTATCTTACAGAAAATGGAGAAAGAGATATTAATAACTATTTGGTTTTAAGTACTACTAAATCTTTCACTCAAGTAATTGTGGGTGTTCATGAACTGGTAGTGAAAGCAAGCAAATGATTGTAATTATAATGACTTGTGCTAAATTCTGTGAGAGACATGTGGAAGTACAAGGTATTAAGGAAGCATAGAAGAAAAAAAAAGAGTCCTTAATTTGGTTTGGAAGAATCAGGAAAAACTTAACCAGAGAACATGATTCTGAGAGATAATATTTTCAAGGATTAGTAGGGTTAGTCATGTGGATGTTAAAAAGTGAATATCAAGGCTAATTTGGAGGACGTTTGTGTGAAAAGGATTCCAAATAGAATGAGCAGAATATCTAAAAACATTATGGCATGGGAAAGAATATAGCATATTCAGGTGTTCACGTATGTGTTGCACTAAGGATGTATTGTTGGAATAGAATTTAGTGTTTGAATCATAAAAAGCCATATTTGTACTTTTCTCTAAAGATAGTGGGATGGTTTGGAAGATTTTAAGCAAAAGAATGTCATTATAATATTTGTCTGGAGAGAGAACTGGCAGAAATGTTTAGAATGGGTTGATGGGGAAGAGAGGTGATTAAAGTCAAGAAGAACATTAATCCAAACAGAGCTAAATTGTGGCCTGGCATTTGGGAAGGAATAGATGATCAATAAATATATTAGTGATTGAGACAAGTACTTTAGTCTTCCAGCAAAAATTTCAAAGAATTTATTCATCAAAAAAATTAAGTTTGGGGATGAATTTCAGTACTGAGGGATTGGATACTATTAAAGTTTGTATATGAAAAATAGGTGACAGGAGTTATAGATTAAATATTTGTTTTATATAATGCAGAACACTAGCAGATTTTCTATAATTTATGCCATTGTGTAACTGAAATTCTTGAGTCTCTTTTTAAGGAAACTTCTTATGAATGGCGGTTTTGATTGTTGTTGAGTATGTTAACTGTGAATACCTTTAAGTTTGCCTATTGAGAGATCAGGCAACATTGCCTTAGAATTAAGACCATTGCCTTTCAGAGTAACTCTGGTTGGCTTCAAGTTTCCACTCTGCTATTTGGCAAGCATTTTTACCTCACTGAGTCTCAGTTTCTTCATTCATTAATTCAGTCAATAGTTATTACCTACTATATACCAAAATTTTTTCTTTTGAAAATTATTTATTTTCATTGTATTTGAGAGAGACAGACTTAATATTCAATCTGCTGGTTTACTCCCCAAATACCCACAATTGCCAAGGCTGATCAGACCAAAGCCAGGAACACAGCTCAAAATGGATCTTCCATGTAGGTAGCAGGGACCTATATCAATTTGAGTATGATGTGGCATGCAGGTATACCAAACAGCAACTTAACTGCAACTCCAGACACCTGTGTTCAAAAATTTTTCCTGTTGCTGATTATACAGCAATCTTAGATTCCATAAGCATTGATGGACTATAAACAAAAATAATAAATAAGAGGTAGATTATTTAGTTTGTGAATTGTGGTGAATACTATGCTAAAAGAAAATGTGGAGGCAGGGTGAGGGCAGTGAAGATTTTTTGAAGGAAGGATAAAGGGTTGACAGGGTTTGCAATTTAGAGTGGTCACGTTGAACAGATGACATTTGAGCAAGCACTTGAAGCAAGCAAGAGTTAAACATGGGGGCATGTAGGGGAAAGTATGTCCAGTCCTGGGGAACAGCAAGCATAAAGGTGAGAGCTTCCCTGGTATGGCTGAGGAATGAGGTGAAGATAGTGGGAATTGAGTGATCAAAGCAGACAATTGTAGAAAATGAGTTCAGAGATAAAACGAGGGTAAGACTCTCTGTAGAGCTTTGCCATTATTCTTGTCGGAAATGACATTTGTTGTAGGATTTTAAGAAGAGGAAAACAATTTAACTGACATTTTCAAAGATTTACTGGCTGCTGCGTATGGGAATTTAAGGATAGAAGCAAAGAGATCATTTAGGGCGCTATTGTAATCCAACCTAAACACAATAGTGACTTGAACTCCCATAGTAGCAGTAGAGGAGGTAAGAAGTGGTGGGCTTATGAATAGTTTTGAAGATGGAGTTGGTAGTTACTAATGGATTGGATGTGACTTATGAGAGAAGGCTAGGACTGAAGTATTACTCTTAGGATTTTTGGCCTGTGTAACTGAAATGATATTGTTTCTATCAAAAAGTATGGAGAGGACTATGGATTAATGAGTTATTGGGAAAATCAAAAATTCAGTCTGGAAATAATTGATTTTGAGTTCTCTAGTAGAAAGTAGAGATGTTAACAGTGACTAGTTCTGTTTCCAGGACAGAGATAAATTTTGGGTGTTATAACATGCAGATGATATCTGATTCCTTGTGACTAGACAAGTTGATTAAGTTACGAGAATGAATACTGAGATTTGGCCACTGACTTTAATAACATGGAAATTGTTTCTGACTTAGATAGAAGGTGTTTCACGAGAATGATGTGCAAAAGGAAGCCTGTTTGCAGTGGATTTCTCAGAAGGTAGAAGAATGGGAGGAGAGGAATGCAAAGATAGTGATATAAAGTATCCTTTCAAGGACTTTTGCTACAGAGTTGAGCAAACAACATAAAGGGAGTGGTAGCTTGCAGGGTGAAATGGAATCATGGAACATTGTTTTGTTTTGTTTTCCTAAAAGAGAGTAAGAAAGCTAACGGTTTGATGGTGATGGGGACGAACATTTGACAGTGGAAAAATTCATGTAGTAAAAAAGGGAGAATTTCTAGAGTGACAGTTTTAAGTGAATTATAGAGTAAGGGAGTTTGTGTCCAAATGGAAGGAGTGTCCTAAAATACTCCTTCATACTCCTACCATATATGGATGGACCATATATGGTAACACACAAGAAGACGTTTTATGTTATTACAGAGGTTGGTAGGTAAATAAGGAAGTGGAATGAGAGTTGGGCTTAAAAGAATTTAGACTTACCAAGTATATGTCAATGGAAGGAAGATGAGAGTTACCTATTATGCAGGAAGGTAAATGCAGTTATGGACCACGGGATTACTATTAGGCTGGATGGAGAGAAGATGACAAATAAGAGATTGAGTGTATGTGGAAATGACAGGATGAATGCATTGGAGAGCTAAAGACTCTTTAAAATTTTAGTACTAGGAGGAGTGAGCTATAATCCAGGGAAATGATAGAGTGAGAGGACTCTAACCAGAATCATGCAGTTATTTGTAATGATGATCAGCACATTGCAATGCAATGAATGACTGAGGTAGAATGAAGAACAAGATCTTAGAAAGAGAGGAATTTGGAGAACTGACAGACCAGGATCCTGATTATATTTGAATATCTTATCTTTAAAGAACACTTACCATCCCTCATCATTGGTATATCTACATGGCCCCAACTAATTCTGCTTTACTTCTTAATGAATTTAGCTCTGGTAACTGTCACTTTCTTCTGTACTGTTTCTAACTAATTCTTGGTGATTTCATCCATATTGTGGCATCTATGAGCATTTTGTTCCTTCTTGTTGGTGAACAGCATTGCTTTGTGTGGATGCACTACATTTTATCCCCCAGTTGATGGGCATTTGGATTCCTTTCTTTTTGGGGGAATATTAGGAATAATGCTTTGAGTATTTGTTTACAAGTCCTTGCATGATACATTCACATTTCTCTTGAATAGATACCTGGGGAATTAGAACAATTAGGTTGAATGTCAAGTTTAAAATGTTTAACCTTGTAAGAAACTGCTCAGTTCTTTTCTATAGTCCTGTAATAATTTACATTCCCACCAACTATGTGTGAATCTCACAGTTTGTACATGTTTTTTCTCACATACACACATACACATACATCAGTTCATTTGATTAAGAGTCTTCATAGTGGCCGTCTCATAGGAGGTTTTATTGATAATTTCCTTGATGATTAGTAATGTTGAGTATTTTTTCATTTGTCAGTTGGCTACTTTTTAAAGATTTATTTTATTTATTTGCAAGGCAGGGAGATCAAGAGGGAGAGACAGAGAAAGAGATCTTCTGTATGCTGGTTCTTTCCCCCAGATGGCCACAATAGCTGGGATTATGCCCTACTGAAGCCAGGAGCCCAGAACTTCATCTGGGTCTCTGATGTGGGTG